GCGGCTCACCAGGCATAACCTTGCAAGATTGGGGGGGCCACTGCACGATGAACCGTCGTATGGCAAGCTCGCGTCGTCTATCGTTTCCTACGTGCGTGCATTCGAAGCATGCAGAATGAGGGCGCCTTTGTTGGGGGGGCGCGGGGGGCGTGCGCGGGCCAGCGCTCGGGGTGATGTTACCGGCTGGGGGCCTGCGTCGACGTCACCGGGCGGCTTGCGGGTTCCACCCCCTTCCCCGGGCCCGAGCTGATCCGGTGCAAGCGCACCGACGACGCTCGGAAGCCGGCGGCGTCGGAGCGCTCCTTGCAGGACAGGCGGGCCTTGCCGAGCGACAGGTCGGTGGGCTGCAGGTCGGGGTCCGAGTCGGCGCCCCCTCCCGGCTCGTCAGAGTTCCTCGCCGTGGCCGCCGGGGCGCCGCTCCCCGGCACCGGGGCGCCCGCAGCCAGCCGCAGGGGCCCCTGCACGCCGCCCCCTGCCCCCCTGGCCAGCACGGGAGGGGGGCACCTCCGGCCTTTGATGACGCTCACCTGGGAGGGCAGGACGGCCGCCCTCCTGGCGGGGTGGCCGAGGCCGCTGGCGCAGGGCGGGGCCTCCCGCGCGGGGGCCTGGGGGGGCGGCCCCCTCCCGCCTCCCGCCTGCAGCGCCTCTCTGTCCTCCTCCTGCGCCCTCTGGCGGGGGGAGGGCGGGGCGGCGGGGTCCTCATAGCCCACGGTGACCACGATGATGTCGGAGTCCTCTTTGGCATGGGGAGGCCACTCCTCGGCCACCTTCTTCTCCAGCGAAGGGGGCTCCGGCTCATCCGGCTTCTTCCGGGGCCGCCCCCGCTTCCTCCTCACCGCGCTCTCCCCGGGCGCGTCTGCGGGCCGCTTGCTGGGGGCCTTGGCCTTCTGTGGGTCGCAGGGGCACCTGCCGGCCTCGCTGCCACCGCTGCCGCTCGCCTCGCCACCGCCCGGCAGGCCCTTGGGCTTCGGCGCGAACTCCGCCATGGGGGGCACGGCCACGTTGATGACCGGCATCATGTTGATCACGGGCACGGCGCCCTGCGGGCCGACCAGGCCGGCAGGGCCCCCCACGCCCGGGGCAAGCATGGTGGGGGCGGTGGGGCCCACGGAGAGGGCCATTTTGACCGCCCCCGCTACGGGGGCCGCCGTCAGCTTGGGCGCCAGGACGGGGGGAGCCGTGCCCGGAGACACCACCAGCCTGTCCCCGGGCTGGACCCGGACCCGGGGCAGCAGGAGGGGCAGGCGGGCCATTAACGCGTTGACCTGCGGGCTGCTGGCCGGCTTGGCCGGGGCGTCCACGGGCTTCTTGGCCTCGCTCCGCGGGGGCGCCGCCGGGGGCTTGGGGTTATTCTCCGGCTTGGCCTGAAAGGCGAGAGGGGAGAGTGAGGGGGGTGGCGGCCCTGGCCCAAGGCTTCTGAAGGGCAGCCCGGGCAGCCGCTGAGGGCGAGGGACGTGCTGCCGGCCTGGGGGTCGGGCAGTGGGTGGCTTTCGGCCGGGGCCCTGCCACGTCCCCCGGCACAGAGGACGAGTCCTCCACCCTCACCTGAACTCACCTGGGAACGAAGGAATGCTCCCTGTATTTAAGCCCCAGGGTTGTCTCCAAAGAATGTGGGGACATGGCCCGTGAGTGGGTGGGAATTGCTGCGATGCGGCGTGGCACAGAGAGGGGGCGAGAGAAATTCAGGCGGGAGGAGCCGTGGGGCCTCCACGTTCAGGAGCTGTGTATCTGTAAACGCTGATTGCTTGGGAGTGTCGGAGGAAGAGCGGGAGGCTTCTCAGAGGCATCAGGCTGCCTGCTGAGGGATGCCAAATCCAGGGCTGAGCGGGCGTCTCCAGCAGGCCTCCTGTGCTTTACTGCACCCGCAATCCCTGAATCTTGCCCTCCTCTGCCTCTGGGAAGCGGGGCCAATTTCTACTTGGAGGCATCAGATGATGATGATGATCAAGTTATTTCCATATCATCCGATAGCCAAAGCTCTCTGGCACGGGGCAGCAGCCTCGCCTGGGCCCCAGACCCTCTGCCACGGGCACCTTCCCCCCCGCCCCCCGCCCCGCTTGCTTCCCCGTCCACCTCTTACCGGAGGCGGCGTTTTGTCTGTACTCTCAGGGGCGTCCGACTCAACCTTCTTTGCAGTTGGAGGGGGGCGTCTCTCCCTGTGGCTTTCTGCATTTTCTGTGAGGAGACAGACTTGCGTCAATAAATCAGATTGCAGTGCCCGGTTACACAGTTCCACCGTGCAAGAACCAGGGAAAGGCTCCCAAGGCTGGGGCAGAAGGAAACTGAAGTTTGTCTGCAAGGTGGAAAGGCTTCTGAATGATTGAAGCCCGCTCCCGGCTCCCCAAACGCACTTTCTCCCACCCGGCTCCCCACTTGGCATTGAACAGCTAATTCTGCTGGGCGGAGATGTTGTTGTTGATGTTTTGTGCTGAAAGACCTCGAAAATGGCTGCCCTGCTCAGATCTTATAAACGAACTGGATGAGCATCCAATAAATACATGTATTGGATGTGAAATACATCATTTCACATCTTCAAATGACACAATAACTGAACTATAACATCCCAACTATTAAGACCCAAGCAAAAGCGAGAAGAGCCAGCAAAAGAAACATTCAGGAGGACAGATCTGAGATTAAGTGCCTTCTGGGAGGGAAGACGGCTTGCAAAGAAGTCCGTCCTCAGCCGACCGGGCTCCTTCCAGACATGTGTCCAGGGCGCCTCCCCAGAAGGGGCTTTCTGCAGCCGGGGGCCACGCAGACAGGGCAGCTGCCCGCAGCAGATCCTCCGACAACTGTTTTAGCAAGCAGGCAGGGCGCCCCTTCGGGGGGACGCGTCCCTCCTGCCAGACCCTGCCCGCCGAGACGGGGCCCACCTGAGACGACCATGGCCATGACGAGGTCCGCGTGTGCAGAGCGGGAGCTGATAATGTGCTGCTGGAGGAGGAACTGAGCCACCTCCACGATGTTGTTGAAGGACCGCTTGAGGATCTTCTCGGCCCAGTCGCAGGTCAAGGCGCAGGCCGCGTCCATCACCTCGTCGTTGTACGAGTGGACCAGCTCGACCCGCTCCGGCTGCGGCACGGGAAGAAGAGACCTGGAGGCGAGCCAGGACCTGCCTCGGCCCGCCTCCCCCCCGCCCCCCCGTCTTGTTGGCAGGACTGGACTTCTACAAAGGGCAATTTACAAAGGCTGCAGAGCCTCAGCACCGTCGTGGAAGCGCACAGGCGGGCCGGTGGCAAAAGCCCAGGACAGCGGAACGAGCCCCCAATGCTCAGAAGGAGCCCTCCTTCCAAGGGCAGGTGCCAGGGACAAAACTCGAGGCCGGATCAGCACCATCACAACCGAGCTCTGGTTCTTCACAAGCAGCAGCATGGAAAAGCCTGGACTAGATGGGGCGTTTTTGGTCCCTTCCAGGCAGAACGTTTGTTTGTTTATTTGTTTAGGAGACTTCTATGCCGCCCCATTCGCCGAAGCCTCGGGGCGGCTCACATCCATAAATAAACTTCCATAAAATAATATAAATTAACAGTATGAATTAAGTCGCCCTGGCCAAAGAATAAAATGAATAAATACTATTAACCATTAAAATGACATTTGAATAAAAAGGTCTTGGCCTGGCGCCGAAAAACAAATAACAACGGCGCCAGGCGGACCTCTCTGGGGAGCACATTCCATAGATTGGGTGCCACCGCAGAGCAAGCCCTCTGGCATTTGCACCTCCTTGCACACACGGGCACAATCCTTGCACACACAAGGCAGCTTAAGAGCTCCCTGGGGCTTACAGTCTCAATTTCTTTAAGATCCAGACTAGGAAGCGGAGGCATGTTGACCACTGTCTTCCTCCGTATCCCACTGTAGCAATACGTTGGTGCAGAGTTAAGGAGAAGATCCAAGAACCACATTCACTTCCAGGGTTAAAGGCAATTTGGGGCACCGAAGCCACCGTCCGTCCAACAGCGAGAAAGGGGTTGCCACTTGGGGGCAGATGTACGGAGCTTCACGGGTACCTGAGAGCTCCACGGGTTTGTGTCTTAGGACTTTTTAGGTTGTACATTCCTTGAGGCACTACACTCAGATGAACACTACATGTACAATACTCCTGTATGAACCATGTCTTCAGCTTCTAAAGAGAACACAAGAAAGCGCCGCCCATTTCTGCACAAGGACTGTGAGTTGACAGGGGCACTGTCGGGCTGGACTTTTTCGTATCCTTGCCAGCATTCAGTACCAGCACCATTATTCTGCACAGGAAGAGCCCGGAGCTTGGCGCCGAAGGCCGGATGCAGGTTGAAATGCAGACCCGCCTTGACTCTTTTATGCAGAGAAAAGGGTGCTTACACCAAGCATCCAAACCCCGCAGTTCAGACTGAGAGCAGGCAGGGGAACTAGGAGGGGGAAATACGGCCGCCGTCTGTCCTAGGCACAGGACGGACGCTGTTCGTGATGTATTGCGATGCTCCGTGTCTGCAGCCTAACACACTGCAGCACATTTAGGCACTGAACACAGCCGAGGGAGCAGAGCCGCAGGTGGGTGGTGCTGGGGAACATGGGCCAGGGGCTCCTGACGCCCTTGGGAATATGACTTCTAACTCACTCTGCTGAGGGACCGGGGTTACTTTTGGCGTGCTCAAGAAATGTTACAGTCCTTGGAGGGGAAGGTGGCGGGACTGGGCGTGAAGTTTTCGCAGAGCTCTTGGGTGCGGTTCGGCCGCGGCTGTGCGGCTTTTTGCCCTTGGGTGCCAGTTGGGGGGACATGGCACCGAAAGTACTATTCATGCGGCTCTCCCAGAAATTTGACAGATCCCCTTCCTCTAACTGCACCCACAACCTTTCCACCCTTCCCCATCTTGACTTCATGCACAGAAGGATATTTCGACTGCCCGCGGCCCCCCAGTCGTCTCGCTTTGATGTTAGGAAAGATTTCTCTGATGATCTTGCCGAAATTCGCTGCACTCAGAGAGCGGCTGCAAAGGTTGTCACAGTATCGCCTGACAGGGGAGACCAAAAAAGGGGGGGGGTATGCATTTGGGATAAACACCACCACTGCCACAGGTCCTACAGTGCAGCTAGGACTATACCGCATCAGACTAGGTGTGGGGAGGAGGAAACCATGACTGGCTGCTTCCCCACGGCCTAAGCACCCCTTCTGCGCACAATCAGTGGCTTCGGGGAGAAAGGTTTGGGCCAAACCACCCCCGTTTCCCCACTGCCCCCCTTGCAAAAACGTACTTGTACGCATCATACACGTCTTGTTTTGGCAGGCAGGTGTCCGGATACTCCTCCAGGTGGTTCCGGATCCAGGTGCAGGCGTGCATGTGTTCGGCTGAGCTCAGAGAAGTGAGGTCCAAGCTGGGGGACCCAAGAGGAGAATTACTGGGCTCGGAACGCAGTTCGTGGGTCTAACTTGAGCCTCTCCACTCCCCTTCCCCAGCGCCCTGTGTTCCTCCGCGCCGCCTGCCGCCCTCTTTCCAACCCGGACGCCCCACATTCAAGTCCGCCTCAGAAGCGATGCGATCCAGTAGCTTGCAAAACTGCAGGTTGAATTCCCGCAAGTGTTTGGTGTGTATCGGCCTCTTTCAAACACTCATTTTGCTCAGGCATACCTCAGCATCTAACCAAGCTGGGAAACTTCTCCTTTTCGTTCCATGATGAATCCTAAATTTGTTGATATTTGTGGCCAGCTTAAATCTTGTGTCACACATGCAGGGTGCAAGCCCGGAGCGATTCTTGAATTCCCAAAGGGCCAGGTTAGGTTCTGACCTGTATCACCTCTGTAACACCCAGAGTTCCTGAATTATGGGGCCAAGGGGGTTAAGTAGGGGGCATGACCCAAATCAACCTCTACCCATGCTTAATTTGCATGTTTAATTTCCCCGACTGCTGCTCTTTTCCCTTGAAATAGGCAATTAAGGTGCACTCGGATTGCAAGATCTAGGCAGACTGTCCAGTGCTGACCAATGGATTCTGTTTTTAACTAGCTCTCGAATTTCCTTGATCTTTAACTAGCTCTCGAATTTCCTTGATCTTTAACCAGCTTTAGAAACATAGAAACAGAGCGAGTCAGAAGGGGCCTCCCAGGCCATCTAGTCTGACCTCCGGCACCAGCCGGCTCTGCTCACGACATGCCCACCATGTGGACGTCCAGCCTATCCTTGAACACCCTCACCGATGGGGCCTCAACGACCTCTCGTGGAAGCCCAGTCCACACCCTCGGGGTCCTGACTGTCAGGAAGTGCTTCCTGGCATCCAAACGAAACCTTGGTTCCCTGAGCTTTGCTCCGTTGGAGCACGTCCTCCCTTCTTCTGCAGGGGGGAACAGGTCTCTCCCCACCTCCGTGTGACACCCCCTCACATACCTGCATGTCGCCAACAGATCCCCTCTGAGTCTCCTCTTCTCCAGGCTGAAGAGGCCCAGTTCCCTCAGTCTCGCCTCATACCCCATCCCCTGCAAACCGGCCACCAACCTTGTGGCCCTTTGAAACTCTGACTTTAGCCTGGCTATATCCTTCCTGTAATGAGGGGCCCAAAACTGAGCACAATACTCCAGTTGCAGGCGCACCAGAGTCGTGTATAGTGGTAGTAACACCTCTCTCGATCTAGAAGCCACACTTCTGGCTATGCAACCAAGGGCGGCGTTTGCCCTCTTGACCACCGCATCACTTTCTAATTTCCTTGATCTTTAACCAGCTTTCTAATTTCCTTGCAGCAAGACCTCTGTTCGCCACTCACTTTTTTTCTCCTGAACTTGGGCCGGAAGGCAGTTGGAGGTAGAGATAAAGTTTGGCATGATCAGAAAACCTCTGGACATCTTGCTGTTTGTCACAGTCCGAGAAAAAAGAGAGAGACCCAAATGTTAATAAAGAACAATGGGGTTCATTCATGAACTGAACAAGGGGTTCAAGTGCCTGCACGTGCCCCCAAACAGCTCTGGAGAAAATTAAAGGGCCCCATCTAGGCCCCCCAACCTGGCCCACTCACCAGAATGCAGTCGACTTTGCTCTGGACCGACTTCCTGCCAGAAACACAAAACACAAAATATTGCCTTACTTTCTTTAAAGTTTTTTCTCTCTCCCTCCATTTACCCACTAAGGTCCCCCAACCTTCTGGACCCATCTGCCTGTCTGTGAAGTCCGGGCACTGCCTCGAAATGGCTCCCAGGGGCAGGGCAGCAAAACAGTGAGGCCAGAGGCTGGGAAGTGGGGAGACAGAGCAAGGCAAAGGGGTCAAAGGGAGGACGGGGGCAAGGCTGGAAAGGAAAGAGAGGCACCTGCCGTAACCCTTTCCAAATTAAAAAAGGGGCAGGGAAGGGAGAGGTGCTTTAAGGAGGCATCTGCTTAAAATTGCTATGGCATAACCTGCCTCAAAGATGGAAATTTTCCATAGGAATAATCAGAAATTGCCTTTTACCAAGTTAGGGGGTGGGTCCACCTAGCCATTATTGTCGGCACTGACTTGCTCTCCAGGGTTTCTGGCGGGAGTTTTCCCAGCCTGACCTGGTGACACCAGAGATCAAGCGGAAAACCTCCAGCATATAATGCAAAATGCTCTTGTCACTGTGCTACAGCCCTTCCCTCAATAATAGTGATTCTAGTCCTCATGGTTCTGAATCAAAGGCTGGCTTCAGGCAGGAATGTGGGGAAGCTGCTTTCCCCTGGTCACTTTCCCAGTGTTGCCTCCCTGATTTTGGGCAGGGGATTTTCCAGCCGGTCCTGGAGACACTGCCAGGGAGTGACCCTCTGTATGTGAAGCGGGGACTCTGCCACTGAGCCCACCGCAGCGGGGTGGGGGCTGCCCTAGACTGTTCTGTCTTGCAGCTTTGTGGACAGGCGGGCTCTGAATACCCAACTTATGGGGGCAGGTATCGGTCTCCCCAATTTTGCCTGGAAAGCAGACTGAATCCATGGCCATCCCAGGTACTGTGTCCATGAGTTCCAGAAGTTAAATTCTGTGCTGTGGTCAAGAAACTTCCTTTCGTCAGTTCTATGTTTACTGTCAATTGTTTTCATGGAGGGACTCTAAGTTTGACTATTATGGGTAGCAGAGTTGGGGCGAATGGAGTCCCAGCAGCCACCTCACCCCACCCACCCTCTGGGGTCTCTAAGGCAGGAAGAGAAGATGAGGAGGGGATTGGGGGGGGGCAAAGAGGAAGACGGGGGTGTCCCTTACGAGATGGCGCCTTTCAGCTTCTGCAGCAAGGTGCTCGGTTCGGTGGGGGGGCCCTGTGGATCCGCCTCAAGGGTCTCGTTCCCATTTTCCACAATCTTCACGTAGAGTCCATTGTCCTCTGCCATGACATCTGGTTCCTGGATTTAAAGGGAGAGACAAACCTCCTATGGACAACCCAATATTTGCCCAGTATTTTAACATTTCATTCGTTTTATCTTTGATTTTATCCTTAATGGCCAGGTGCAGTGTGTTGCGTGTTGTTGTAGTACGTAGTTTTGTTTTCTGTTTTTTGAAAGCCGTCCAGAGACTTTAATAGTGGATGGCATATAAAAACTTTAAATAAATAAATAAAATAAATAAACCCCGTCCCTATGCAGCCTTCGGTGCAGCCAGTTTGGAATCTAGGGCCCACCCTGGCGTTTTCTGCAGAGCTCAAAGCGGCAGAGTCCTGGTTGGAAGAGCACAGTGTGTTGATAAAATCCAGGTCTTCAGACTATAGGTCCTTACTCTCGTTAACCACCAGCCTCCCCTCCCTTCCCAGAGCCAAAGATGGAATTGTCACGTCCATCTCCTTCCCAAGAGCCATCTCTTTATTTATTTGTTTGTTCATTTGTTTGTTTTAGATGCCTTTGGCCACCTGTTGTGTAAGCCCCTGGGGTGAGGGGAACTCCCCAGTGCCACCCCCCTCCCATTTTACCCTACAAATTGTTGTACGGTGCTGGTACTAGAAATCACACTATGAATTAAGTTCTGCACAGATCGCATTAAACTCGCCATGCAGTCTTTCCTAAGTTGGCACTCTCCCTGTGGGTTTGATTGCAACTTCCATCATCCCCAGAAATCCATCAGCCATGCTGCTTGGGAATGACAATGGTGTTGATGCATCTCGCACTTCCAATCATGCTAAAGTCACCAACGTTTTTCTCTGACAGGGGCCCTCTGCTTTTAATGCAAGAAAACCACTTGGCAGCTGATGTTTTGAGATTTTCACTGTGTTGTTTTTTTAATGGCTTATATTGCTCTTTTCAGCCAGCAGAGGCACTTGTGGTGCCTGACTGTTTTATATTTATATGTGTCTTTTGGCCACATATAGCATTCAAGGCCATTAAATCCACTTTCCACAGATGGCAAACTCCTTGGGGCAGAGAATTTCGCTGGAGGGGGAATCCTGGTAAAAAAAAAGGGGGGGTTGAATTGAACTCAATGAAATTTACCTGGAAGTAAGTGCTATTGATTTCAATGGGACATAATTCTTGGTAGGCATGTACTGGATTGCCCTGTTAAAAGACGAGCCTTTGTCATTTTAAATCCCCAAAGTTTTGTGCTCAATTGAGTCAAAATTTCAATAAGAGCATCCCTTTTGTTATCTTTTACCAACCATGCAATAAATGTTAAAAAAAAGTCGAACCTGGATTTGCCCCTGCTAGTTTGCTTTCATACTTTGCAAAATAAAAACGTGGGAGGGAAGAAAGAAAATATGAATTCACTCCAGCATTTATTTCCCTGTGTAAGACCCAGATAAGTTTTAAAAATCAATATTCCTCCATCACTCAGGCGGGAAAGTAACTTGCTCTATACAGTGTCCAAGAGGCAGTAGAAAAGTAGCAGCTCAAAAAAAAATTGCATTTCACGAAGAGGGAAATTCAAATTCGAGCAGCCATATGTGGAAAAGCTGAATTAGACCGTGCAGAGATAAGTGGGTACGTGCTGGGCAAGGGGTGAGAAGGAAGTAAACTTCCCTCGAGATCCGTAATCATCTCTTCCCCCACTTTGAAAAAAATCCTTGTAAAGGACCTTTTAAAAATACAGATAAATGCTCCCAAGATCTCGCAACTAAAACTAGACACCTCTGGGCCTCTCCATCTTCCCATCAACGAGACATCTTTAAACCACGATGCATTTCATTCTCATTTCCTCTTTCTTGAGCAGGGGCTGCTCTGTTAACACTCCCCAAAGCAGCAAGCAAAAGCTGCATTATATATTTTATACAGAGACATAAAGATCTATAGAGAGAGGTGACGACGTCACGTACCTTTCTCTTCTCGAGACTGGAATTCTTCTTTCTGGACTTCTCCTTATTTTTAAATAAAATAGCGTAGATTAAAATGGCAAAAGGTGCATTTTCAAGTCTCCTCCCCAAAAAAGTAAGAAAAAATCACTCCGACCCTTCTAGAGTTAATAGAGGTGCCTCCACTGTAACCCTCCTTCCCTTGGATTTTGGGGTCTGACTCTCTCGATCTGCTTGCCAAAAAAGTAGCAATAAAAATCCTGCAGCATTTACGCGTCGCCACACATCTTGCCACTTTCCATTGCAAAATAAAACAGAAAAAGAAAGTATTTTGCAAGGAAGAGCCTCAGGGGTACGGGGTTTTTTCCTTCTGCGCTCTCTGATTGGCTAGCCTGGCTGGGATCTGCCCAGATACTGGACTATTCTTTAATGCAAATGGCTGTCTTGTGTTTTTCCACCCGGATACAACTCGAGTCGGGCTTCTGATTGGTCAGCGAGATTGAGAAGTCTGCCTAGCAACATGGCGTGGATTGGCTCAAGCTCCGCCAGTTTCGAAGCTCACCAGGAAGGCGGGGGAGAAACTGACCAGCCTGCATTTTTGCAAGGAGCAGCCAGACGTAGCAAGAGCCCTGCGGTGTTGCGCCAGCTCCCAAACCGCGGCTTCCCATTCCGGAGTAAAATTGCTGTGCCAGCAGTCGCTTTCCCCTGTTTTTCCTAGTCAATCGCTGCCTCTTTCGCTTTCCTAGTAGAGATGATTTGTTGAGATGCCATGTGGCCTGGTGAAAGTTATAGTCTTGTTTGCTACTCCTGGTTATTGGTTGTTGTTGTTTATTTATTTATTTATTTATTAAAACATTTCTATGCCGCCCCTTGCCGAAGCCTCGGGGCGGCTTACAACACAATAAGATACATTGAAATACAATAGAACATAATAAATTACCACTAAATACAAAAATACAAAAAATACACTGAGATACAATAATGTAAAATTAAAATTATCAGTATAAAATAAGTAAATAAATAATATAGGAGGAGAAAAGAGAAGGAAGAAGAAGTTGCCCTGGCCAGATCATATATTTTAACAATTAAAATGATGTTTAAATAAAAAGGTCTTCGCCTGGCACCGAAAAACAAATAACGACGGCGCCAGGCGGACCTCTCTGGGGAGCGCATTCCATAGATTGGGTGCCACCGCAGAGAAAGCCCTTCTCCGGGAACCCTCCATGAAAGAAATTAGGAGGGTAGGTACTCGGAGGAGGGCTTT